TAGATGATAAAAAGATTTCGCAAAGAAACTATATTGTAATGATGATGTAAGTCTACTCAATTAAAGTAACAAATTTAACTCAAAATCCTTAATCAAAAATCCTTAGATGAAAGCCCACTAAGATATTTTTCTTACCTTTTTATACATGTAATGTAATAGCTAATTATATTTAAAGATTAATTTTCGGGCCCTATAAATTCACACCGGTAATGTTTAAGTCTAAATTTGGTCTATCTCTGTTGACATGTTTGCCAAGATGCTTCGATACTACCTATAATCATAGATTTTGTTATACTTTCTGGTCATGACCAGTACTGAGACATACACATAGATGCAGTTGCATCCAAATGATGCTTTCTGAACAGGATAAAACATCCATCTTAATTTCCACTGTTGACTACTCTCCGTTTGTATTTCCAACGTATTTAAGGTAAAGCAGTAGTATAAAATATTATTATTCGTCTGAAGACAGACAAAATGATAACACTGGTGATGACGGTGATGAGAACAATAATCGTATAATATAATACATTTTTCTTTTTTATTATTAGTATCATGAACAAACTGGTGTATGTATTAACAGATCGATGACTTCATCTATACTTTTTGATCACCATCATTTTTTGCGATACTAAGGACTACGATACAAGATAAGGAATGAACATGCGTTCTATTTCTTTTCGTTGATGAAGGTCATCTTGTCAGTTTGAAAGTGCAAACTATCAAGTATATACATAAAATTTTAAAATTAATCTATATTCGTGTTCTGTGGGATGAAAAGTGGCTTGATGACATTTAATTATAAAAAACGTTTTCGTAAAATTGGTTATGATGACATTGATGATTATTAATATTTCATTTATTCATTTGTTTTCATAATAATTAAAATGGTAACTATAGTTTTAGCTAGGATCAATAGACTTCTATCTTCTGATAGTATTCGGTTATAGCAGGTATGTGTGTTGTTAACCAAAACGTATTTCAATCAAATTAGTGAATTGGTACTTTTATCTGTAAAACTTAATGTTTTGATTACCTTTAACCCTACTTTTTCTGTTTTTAATTCCGTGCTTAGTTAGAAATACTTTTGAGTATTCCACATCTGTTATGGTTAAAAGTATAATAGATGAAAGGACTACTGTCCATTTCATAACACTGATACAGACAGTTTAAATAAAACCAAATATTTCCTGATGTAGTAAACACCACGATCTCACCTTAGCTAAACGACTATCGAAAACAAGGAAGCACTGAACAACTGTACTATCCTAGTATATGACATCTTAGTAACGTGCACTTGCAACCCATTTAAAGATCAAAATCTGGACATACAAATGAGGGCTTAATATTTAGACTAATGAGTTAGAGGAAATAAACGATATTTGGAGCTGAGTAACGATTTCTGAAGGGACTGAAATAGTGATACAAATAAAAGATTGAATGAATCATACCACATAGATTCTTTCACTTTTAAATGATATTAAGAATTCACTGAATTTGGTCTTTTTTCGAACCAGGATATTATTCGTATTCATGTATATAATGACCGAATGATCGAAATAATTGCATCTTTAGTTAACAACATAACTCTGTGATCGAGTGTGGTATAGCGACTCAATTCATTTTGAATTGAACTGACTTTTCTTATGTATTCACTATTATTGCAACATGTAGTGTACTTTTTTAGTTTTATCCGATATCTACGAGTCACTAAACTAACGAACTAGCTTCATGTGAATGCTTCCTAAAAAAGCATCTATTTAGGTTATATAAATTGTTTCCAAATTCTCAAGTTATTACTCACATAAAACTAGTTACAGTTCAAACAAAAAATTTATTTTTTCACCTTTTTTACTGCAAAGGTGGATAAAAAAAGAGCTATAAAACAACTGTACAAAGCATGGTTAGCAGAGATGGATGGTGGCTAGCATTCGAATCCAGGACGCGCGTTTCGTCCTATTTGGGACTCGTCAGCCGGACGTACCTGCATCCCAGAGTTGACGTTCACTCTGGGACTCGAACCCATTACCCTCGCTTCAAACACCATCGCGTTATCCACTCGGCCACTGAGTCCTGATAGCCACTTGCTTGTGCGATGCACATATGCCAATTAGAGATTGACCAGTTGCAGTCCTAAACACATCGATGGGAAGATCTAAACAAACAATACGAAGTTGAATTTAAACTTCACCCCATCGCACAAGCAAGTGGCTATCAGGACTCAGTGGCCGAGTGGATAACGCGATGGTGTTTGAAGCGAGGGTACTGGGTTCGAGTCCCAGAGTGAACATCAACTCTGAGATGCAGGTACATCCAGCTGACGAGTACCAAATAGGACGAAACGCGCGTCCTGGATTCCACTGCTAGCCACTATCCATCTCTGCTAACCATGCTTGTGAATTAAGGTATATCGAGGCAATACGCACAGTATGCACATATGCCAATTAGAGACTGACCAGTTGCAGTCCTAACAAATCGATGGGAAGATTCAAACAAACAATACTAAGTTGAATTTAAACTGTACAAAGGTTTATCTCTAAAGTTCTTTAATACGACCAAGTAAAAATTATCCCTCAATTAATTTTTGTTTCAAACTGGCTATTTGTTTAATCGATAGTTTGATCATTTGTTTGAACTAATTTACTTGAACAACGTTGAATATAATCACATCTGTTCAGTATTAGTATAATTTTCTTATCAGATAGCTGACATAAAAATGATAAGCAAAACAAAATAGAAGACCGAACAAAAAGCAGATTACATTAAGATCCCCTCTAACCACGTAATCAGTGATGACACTCAAAACCGTGATAATCATTTGTGTGTTCTGAGTGGGACTCATACAGTAATGTTAAATGGAAGAGAATTTACCCGAATGAATGTATATTTTTAGGATTTGTTAACCCCTAGTGGGGTTAGACTACACACAGCCCAGCTTCTATGTCATAAATTAATACATGATTTATTTTGCTTATGAAGATCGCTAATTCATACATTTAAGGAATCGTAAAGGATAGTTATTGTTAGACCAATTAAATGGGTAACTAACGTCTGAGAAGTGTGTTACATTCCTGCATGCATGAGAATAAATTCTCCTGTAGCCCCTCCAGAGTTAGTGCCGGTACCGAGCCGGAGTAAAGAGAGAAGGTTAAGCGTTGATTTGGTAGTCCCACCTCACAAAAAGAAACTCAACTGAAAATTCGCCAAGAGAGAGAACCATATAAACTCTTCCCTGTTACGAAAAAGGTCTTCTCACACAGGAAATTTATGATGTCATGATGAAAGTCAAGATTCTTCGGGAATCACAAGACTGATTAACATCCTGACAACCGAAGCAACAACTACTATAGGTACATGGAATGTTCAGGCACCATGGAAGACTGAAGGTCTTTCAAATAACTGCCGAAATGAGAACATACAACTTAACTCTGCTTCAAATAAATGAAACCCATTAAATACAATATGAACAGATAAGAGCAACTTCAAAAGGTGTTACTGTATTCTGATTATGAAGAAAATGCCATACACAGAAATTTGCTTTGACGCTGTCCAAAGAAGCAAAATATGATACAATCAAGAAGCTTGGAAGGAAGTGAAATAATCCATTTAGAAACAAGAAGGAAAACCGATCACTGAAGTTCAAGAGCAGCAGAATAAGTGGGTAGAGCACTGAGAAGAGCTTTGGAATAAAATACTACCTCTGAGCACACTGAACATCGAAGGAGAACATACGGACCTATATATAAATATCATTACAGCAACAACAGAAAAAATCAAGTTCATCAGGTAAATCACACTACTTTCAGTACCAGGCAAGGCTTTCAATCGAGTGTTATGGAACCGAATGAAAGATTTAGTCGACCCCCAACTTCGAGACCAAAAAACTGGTTTTCGTAAGCATCGATCATGTATCCACAGAATAGCGACACTTACGTTCATTACTAAACAATCGATTGATGAAACTCATTACTATACAAGAACTTCCTTGATTATGAAAAATCATTCGACAACATAGATAGAAAAGCTTTTTAGAATATTATTTAACTCTATGAATGCCATTAATATCGTACGGATCTCGTACAAAGGACTGAAATTCAAAGTCGTTTACAGAGAGCAGATCACAAATACATTCTAATCGAAGGCAAGTGTTAGACACGGCCACCTACTATTGCCTATGCTGTTTTTACCAGCTGTTGACTGGATTATGAAGACCTCGAAATCCTGGTGAAAGCACCGAATACAGTGGACACTTTGGACGGAGCTGGATTATTTGGACTTAGCAGTTCTATCACTTACAAAACAAAAAATGCAGACGAAGACAGTGAATGTAATATTGGCTTCAGCAGAAATACGTTTCGATGTTTACAAGGAAAAAGCAAGGTTCTGAGGTGCAATGAAGAGAGAACCAACCAAAACACTCTATAAGGAGTAGCAAGCTAAAGTAATTAGGTAAGTGATGTATAAAAACACTGGTCATACCAACCTTCAACAGATACTGTAGGTTAGATTAGAGTTGTCTAATCAGCAGATAAACTTGCTTTGTGTACGGTAACCAAGTCAATATTCCGATTCCAATTTTTTGACAGTTTAAAACTAAATAATTCCAGTTCTCGATTGCGGAGAAGGTGGTCTAGTTCGAAATACGAATCTTGATGCCATAAAAACTGAAGATATACCACTCTTTTGTTTACAATTGTTAGTAGTAGTATACGTTACTCCCAATCTAGCAGCTTCCTGAGTTGCTGATTGTTAAAAGAGTCCGTATGAGTGAAACATCTGATTCGGTAATGCAAATGACAGCGTAAGAATTTGATTTTATATACACCATAGAAATAATTTTACTCAATACTGATTTGTCTACAGCATATATATGGTGGTATACTTTGTGATTCAGTGTCTAATTGTAAGTTAAAATTTCAAAAATGCAATTAATTTTTATTCCTAATCTTTGTACATAAATCAAAACATAAAAAATTAGAAAAATTTTATCCTTCGTTTAGTTAATACTTCAGCGTTTATTATGGAGAACCAGTCACCATCATTATTGAAGCGAAGCTGGGTATACTCAGATACATATAACTGCGAAAAAATCTATAGCTGTTTCAATACGAGACAGTGTCGCCAAAGGTATAACTCACCGAACTATTTCTGTGCAAACATTTATCCCTGTGGGTCATCATGTGCACCACTGGATTATCATGTGAGTCTGTTATAATCTCTTCATTTTACTTATTCTAACATTTTCAAGTAATCGTTTATGGTAGTTAGAAAGTTTGATGTCAGTTTTCACATTTTGTGTCCTGTCAGTTAAAAATTTTAAAAAATTGGAAAATCCTTTGAAAAATTATTGAGAAATTTGAAAACTTTGAGCGTAATGTGATGTATTAAGATAAGTTTAAACTAATGCTTCGATTCAGAACAGGGAATAAGGGCATTTGACTTATTAACTAACTTTCTTATTTGTACAATTTCACTGCCCCACAAAATCTTGGTACGAATGAAGAACACTCGTTCTGCATTAATGATTTTTTTATTTCATGATGAAAAAATGAAATTCCAACTACCGATCATTAAGTACGTACACTGGATAGCAATCATCACTGCATTAATCTACAGAAGTGAGACATGGCTGTTTAGGCACAAAATATATTTGTTAAATAAAATATAACTAACAAACAAACAAAGTTAAAACAGTACTTCAGGTTCTAGATGCTGCAGTTAAATAACATCATTATTTTGAAAAACGAAGAAGTCAGATTTTTTAATTACTTACACCAGTTCACTCTCGTGGAGGAACGTAGGCCGTCCACCAGGATTCGCTAACCAAATCTGTTCTGGGCTCTCCTTCTCAGCTGTTTTCAATTGCTATTCATTCGTTTAAGTCTACCTCCGATTCCCAACGCAATGTGCCCATTAATCTGCCCATTTTCAAATTGCATTCAGGATTCCAAATAAGATCTCGTCTCATGATGCAGTCCAATGATTTCCGTAATGTTTACTCCATCTACCTCCAGCGTCTTGTTCTAATTTCCTCGCCAGCTGCACCTCTTTGATGATAACTGTAGTGGTTTCGAAAGTTTCAGATCTATGCAACAGAACAGTTTTGACGTTAGTATTGAAAATTCTGACCTTGATGCCGCCCAACAATGGTTTCGAGTTATATATGTCCAGCTGTAGGAATGCACTCTTTGATTTACAAATCCTCACCTTCACGTCTGCATCAAATCCTTCCAGTTCATCGATGATTCTGTCCAGGTGCGTGAAAGTCTCCACCTATTCGAGAGTTTCTCCATCAAGTAGGATTGGAATAGTGCTCTCCGTGTATTTGAGGATCTTGCTCTTTCGATTGTGTATGTTGAGGTTTACTGATGCAGAGGTTACTGCAACACTGGTTGTCTCCATCTGCTTTGCTGGTGTGTACATGATAGAAAGGCTAGGTCATCTGCGAAATGCAGATAGTCTAGTTGCATCCAAGCTGTCTATAGTATTCTTTGCTTCTCCTGAGATGTGTAGGTCTCTACAAACCATTCGACCACCAGGAGAAAAGGAGAGAGTGAGCAGCGCTATATGACAATGATATTCACTTAAAATTTGTGTCTGTCAGCCGACCTCCATGCACGAATTTGTAGTGTAGTCCGGCGTATGAATTCTGTATGAAGTTGACGATCTTTTCAGGTATACCATAGTGTCTGTCGAAGAAGGTTCCAAAGGGTTCTCCTACCCACACTGTCAAATGCTTTCTCATAATCAAGGAAGTTGAATTGTAGTGAAGAATTCCATTCAATCGACTATACAACAATGATCCGTAGTGTCGCCATCTGGTCTATGCACTATCAATCCTTATGGAATCCAGCCAGTTGCTTTCGAAGTTGGGCGTCCATTTGGTTCATCAACAATACGTTGAAAAATTTTCGTGGTACTGATAGTAGTGTGACATCTTTGTAGTTCTCAAACTTGCTCAGATCTCTTTTCTTTGGTATATTGATGAGGTGTCTTTCTTTCCAATCTGTTGGCACTTGTTCTTCCTCTCAAATCTTCCTGAATAGGGCGCGGAGCATGTTTGTGGTTACTTCTGTGTCTAACTTCAGCTGGCGTATTGTCAGGTCCTGCTGCTTTCCCACTCGCGGTTTGTCTGATGCCCATTCTGATTTCTTCGGTCGTTAGTGGAGTAGCATCTATAGGAAGTTCTGTGTGTGCTGCTTCGATGTCCAGTGGGTTCAGTGCTCTACCCACCAGTGCCGCTGCTCTTAAACCTCAGTGATTTGCTTACCTTCTTCGTCCTTGACTGGCTTACAATATTTCCCTTATAGTTTCTTCATTGTGTCATATAGTTGTTTCATATTTCCTTCTCTTGAATCATTTTCCGCTGTCATTACTAGATCTTCCACTCGCTTCCGCTTATCAGCTCTAATGCTCTTCTTTATTCGTTTGTTTGCTTCTGTGTATTCGGCCTGTACTTTGGCTTTCCTCTTGTTCAGCTGTTATTAATTGCTGTCCTCTTGTTTTTTCATTCTCGAATCCTGCGCAGGGTGTCGATAAGGATTCATTCCTTATAATGGTGCTTCTTGCTGCTCAGAACTTCATGGAATGTTGAGGTTATTGTCTCTTTAATCCCTTTACAGTTGTTTTCCATAGTAGTTTCTACTTCTTTAAGTAGATCTTGCGAGGCTTGGAACCTGTTACTGAAAGCTATCTTGAATTCGTTAAATTTGGCAATATCTTGAAGAAAGGCTTTATTCAACGCCTGTAATACTGTTTTTTTTCCACTTGTTCAGTGCTTCTTTAGCCCTTTTCACTTTAGCCACAAGCAGGTGGTTATCTTAAGTCAGATAGAAATCGTTTGGGTGTTTAACCTAAGACGTACTACATTTCTGATGCTTCAAGCAAAATAAACTGACGAACACTGAGGAATAATTATTATCGCAACTTCCACCCGAAGTTGTGATAATCATTTATTTCACTTGTAGCACGTTCAAGTTGCTGACTGTATGTGACCCATCTCTTATTTTAGTTGTGATCATGAAAAGTCACTAACTGCTGTCACTATACCACAATTCAGGTTGGCTGAATAAATGGTTATTTTTATGTCTCAGACATGGTCTTACAATCTCGTAGATACTTTGAGTTTATCGTCTTGAACTCAATAGTCATAATAGGCATCTAACTACTTGATGAACGATGCTTAAATTAGATGCAAAATTCAGGGTAAAAAGAGTATTTTAAGAGATACTATTATGTGGTCGCACCAGCTGACATGTCTGGAATACGTATTATGAATTATGATTCACCACCTATTCACAAATATGTTATCTGAAGTAGGAAGATTAAATTAGCGAAACCTTATGGTGGTCAAACCCTAAACGAAGCATAAAGAATAATAACAATGGTACAAATGTATTCATTTTTTACCTCGTGATTCTTGGACATTCTCATAATCGATATTTGTTTCGCTTTCGCAACATGTAGTGAACGAGAAGTTAGGTGGTTAAAACCAACTTATAGTTCTATGCAAAGCTACAGAGTGCTTTCGTAAAATATGAAAACTATACATTAAATACATCGTTTGCACATCTTCCTTCAGTTGTCCCGTACGTGCTTCATGATTCTTCCGTGGTTATTACAATTTCTCTTTATTTCTCTTCTTCTGCTGTCAGGCATCCCACTCCCGACTGCTGTTACATACTACTTATACCTGTCAGGAAAAGTAGTATACAGCACATATACTGTTTACTTTAAAAATATCTTAATTTTATTGATAGTAGAAAATGTCACAAATTGAGGTCATGATTTTTATACAAACGTTTATACTAATGTCTCTGTTTGTCACTTTATAATATCTAGTACGTTGATCATCTGTGGAATTTAAAAACCTATGCACATAAGATTTTTGGCTGTTAGTATAATTACATTATAATCAGATCATGTCCCCCTCGAAAGGCAATTTGGGATGGAATTTAAAATATGTTGAACACATAAACAGCTAAAATCGTCGTTCATGCCCTAATCTCAGCCTATCACACTACTTACTTAATTAACCTAGTGATCGACTAGATCATGAAGACGTCAACATCTGGAGGGAAGCACGGGATACGATGAACAGCTAGAATGCAGCTGGACGATTTAGACTTCGCAGATGATCTGGCTCTTCTATCACACAAGCAACAACAAGTGCAGGAGAAGGCGACCAGTGTAGCAGCAGCCTCAGAAGCAGTAGGTCTCAATATGCACGAAGGGAAAAGCAAGGCTCTCCGATACAGTACAGCATTCACCAATCGAATCACACTTAACAGAGAAGCTTTGGAGGATGTAAAAACCTTTACACATCTGGACAGCTTCAACGATGAACACGGTGGATCTGGTACAGATGTGAAGGTGAGGATCGGCAAAGTAAGAGCAGCATATTTACAACTGAAGAACATCTGGAACTCAAAACAATTGTCAACCAACACCAAGATCAGAATTTTCAATACAAATGTCAGGACCGTTCTACAACATGGGGTGGAAGCCTGGAGAACTACGAAAGCCACCATCCAGAAGATACAGATGTTTATTAACAGTTGTCTATGCAAAATACTTCGGAACCGTTGGCCAGACACTATCAGCAACAACCTACTGTGAGAGAGAACAAACCAGATTGCAGCGGAGAAAGAAATCAGGAAGAAATGCTGTAAGTGGATAGGAGGACACACATTGAGGAAAGCAGCCAACTGCGTCACAAGGCAAGCCCTCACATGGAATCCTGAAGGCCAAGGGAAAAGAGGAAGATCAAAGAACACATGAGACCGAGAAATGAAGACAGACATGAGAAGAGTAAACAAAAGTTGGGTAGAATCAGAAAGGAAGGCCCAGGACAGATTGTGTTGGATAATGTTGGTGAAATTTAGTTGTCATCGGTGATCTGACGTCTGGATTTCACGAAATGCGTAATGTCTATGATCCACTATTTCCAGGTGATCGTAGATCTTAAATGTAAAGGTGAATATTCGTTTTCGTGAGGATGTGAATCGTTTTTATCTTTTCAGATTGTATAAAACCGTAACATCCTCTAGAGAATGCTGGTCGGCGGCTTATGTTACAATGGTCTGGACAAATAACCCTACAGCAACACGAAATAGAGTAAATACATCATTACTATCCTTTATGCATATTTACATGCATATTCCAGGAGTGGTTCAGTACGTGAAATGATTGTATACGATTTAAGACATTTTGATTTAACCTGGCTGCACAAAACACTTAAGATACCGGTCGTCACACCACACTACTTTCTGTCTATGCGACTTTCCTGACCCTAATCTTGACTGAGAGTAACTTCATGTCAATTACAGTTTGAGATCGTCAGTTAAGCCATTGCAAATGACTGTAAAATGTGCATGATATTTATCATCTAAACGCTATGTAGAAAATCAGTGTATTATTTATCAGTTTACTTTTCAATTTCATATGTGATATAGAGTAAGTACCTGTTATGTTTACGAGTATTTGAATTATAGCATAAACTGGTAATCTCAGCAATAACGCAATTTAATCAAGAAGTATTAGATGAGCACGAACGAATGTACTGTATTTGAAATTCAAAATCAAAAGTCATCAATACAAATAAATCATTGGTTCATATAAACACCACATCCGCCACAGCTTAAATTGGAGTGTAAGTGTGTGTAATCGATTGTACGTCTTCTTCTTAAGTTCACCTTACGTCAGTTCGACAGTGTATTGGATATAGACTCTGTATTATCTAGAATGCATTCGTTAAGATTAGGATTACCAACCGATATTGGAATAGACTCACCTGATTCCTGGAATTGCATAAAATCATCATGTCCGTTGTCTAATGAAACAACTGATATCTAGAATTTGAATCGTACAGTTTCCAACACGAAATAATGTTGTAATTTCATATCCCCAAGTTATGAATAATGTGTCTTCATTTAAAACATATTTCACATATTGACTTGAGTATTCATTAGAAGTGAATTCATGACAAGTATAAACAACAGTTGATATGAAGTTATCCGAATTGTAATGAAAATCAAGCTCACTTAGTACTCGTGCTTCGCATTGAACAGGTTTCCCACAAGAAGCAAATGCACTATGAGGATAGATAATATATAATATGACATCAGGATTTGATTCTTTTGAAATATTTTCATCAAATTTATTAAGAGTTTCATTAGAGAATGATGGGTCATTAGGAAAATCAGCATCTACCAAAACTGAATCCGGATTTTGATCAGGATTTGATTCACTCAACATATTATTCTCAGAGTTGTCAGAAATATATGAATTATTATGACAAACCATATCTGGAACAATAACACGACATAGCTCATAAGTCGGTTGATTAGAAACTTTTGTCTCACACTGATTATGGGTTTCATCCAACTCTGGACTGCTATGTGACGTTATACCGCTTATCGAAGTCTTCGATAAAGATAACTGATCATTAGAAACATCCAAATTAATAGGATCACAAATTTTAGCACTAGGTTCAGCTAAATGAACCATGGTACTACAAACTGACTATGTGTGTTCAGTTTGACCACATTTGAAGCATTCAGAATTACCAAATACACATGAATTACATGGGTGAAACTTGCCATGGTACAAGTATCTACCAAACTTGTGCTCATCCTCGTGAACTGTTTCACAACTCAATGAATTGTTATCTGAATAACTTTAATTACGTATTGGACTGCGACGACGTAGTAAAGTGGTGGAATTCCTTATGTTCTGGCGAGTCATTTCATCGAATTTTCCTCCTTTACCGCATTCGAAATTTGTATGCTTCACATGGTCTAAGAGTAGTTGCATAAGGGAGTGACGTCGGATTGTCTGGGAATGCCAAAGTCTTTATTAAGCTGTATGCTTGTTTTCCGATGAATGTAAGGAAATGGGCCACAATATTAAAATCCTCATCATCTTCCTTCGTCATAGCTGAGATTTCAAACCTCTCCATGTAATCCTCAGAAGCATGAAAATCTCAATGTATATCGGACCGTTCCTCACAGGCTCCATCGCGACGCCAACGCGATGTTTAAGAGTATTTGAATTATAGCATAAACTGGTAATCTCAGCAATAACGCAATTTAATCAAGAAGTATTAGATGAGCACGAACGAATGTACTGTATTTGAAATTCAAAATCAAAAGTCATCAATACAAATAAATCATTGGTTCATATAAACACCACAGTGCCATAACATAAATTCTCGAAAGAAAGATTATGTTATGTTACATGATGATGAATGCAATTAGAGATTCTTGTTTGAAAACTAGTACAGACAACAGCAAATGGTGATAAGTAGCTTAAAACCATTCATATGACTGAGTAAATTTTCCATGTCTTAAGATAGTAAGCTGTATAGCATCATATCTAACATTCTTCATCCATCATTTACTGAATGCATAGTAAAACCAACAACACTTTAAATCATACTACTCGGCATGATGCTGTTCTTGGAATACAGAAATAAAACTCTCCGAATTTATGCCAATCGTCAATAAATCAGCCAAGTGTTCTGGGACTTGGTTCGTCTTTATGGATTCAACTAATGTTATATATGTTATTTGGTTTAGGATTAAAAAAAGCCCTTATGCGGTTAATCACAGATCACTTTCCAAAGCTTTTACTGTATACAACACTTCATAAATCCGTTTTAAATTAAAAATCAAACAGTAGTATTATATTTCTTCTTTAGCATAACAGACAAATTATTCTCTGAAGTACGTACCTTGAACATTTGACTGTAACTTGAGATACGTTCATTGGATATACTACAAGAAACAGATAATAACTACAAATGTGCTTTGAGTTTTAACGAAGCTGTTAAGTAAAAATAATGTGCAGTTGATGGTTGACTTGATTTCAACTGGAATATTTGATATGAATACACTTATTAATATTCAAACACGAGGAATTAACTTCATGTATGCAAATCCAGAAATTTTTAAAGCCCAGTGAGATCAACCATTAAAAAATTGGAAAGTCAGCTAATAGTGTGAGGTGAATAACGATATCAGGATCTTTATATACATTTTGAGAAAGCAAAATAATACGGTGACTGCTGATGGTTGATCACCCAATAACAAAGCATCACATCAACACTAAAAGTACGTATATAAAGTTTATTTCCACCGAATACTGACCAGTAAGTTTAAAAATGGACTCGCATAAACAGTTTCATGAGGAGACCTATTTGGTAGAGTTGAATGAAGATGACAAGGTAAAAAAATGAAATTTTCAAATCTAATGTGACTTTAAGAATATTTGATAATTATCGAGAAAACAATAACAGTAACGCTAAAATATTCATTTCATAACTTTTTTTCAGGGTCACTTAAGGTCATACGAACTCGCGACAGAATAGAAAAGTAAAGAACTAAATTGAAAAATATCAACAGGTAAAACCTCATGTTAATAATAATTGCCTAAGACTACGACTTAACAAAATAAAGATGCAATGTTATATTATTCACTTTTATGGAAGCAACTAGGACGGGGTAACAACAAACCATTCAACTAAAATATATATATCTTCATGCCTATCCCTAGTTAATTAAAACAGTTCACATCAAAATCTCGTGTTTCCAGTTAATGTAATTTCAAAACAATAAATGCTAAATTTAGACTATGCGAAATAAAACTGAGTTGGTCATGATTGTAAACTCTCATATGTTTTAGAAACTCGACCTAACAACAAATACTATTATTATTGTTGCCTGTGACTGACTGAATTTTAGCTTTAAATATTGAAGCATAAGATCGTAAATTTGAAGGTTTAATTAAGCATTTTACTTGATCAGTAAGTATGATCAATCTAAGCTTCACATCACACTTTATTGAAACATGTCAAACGACTGAGAAATACATCAATCGCTATATGAAATTAGTTATTACTGTTGATTGACTGCGATTATAATGGCGTTCAGCTAAAATATAAAAATAACTGACCGCAGAACATAAAGTTCTGTGATTCTAAGAAATTTGTCTATTAGATGTAATAACTAGATGAGGATTTGCATAATGGATCAGTTCAGGATCTTTTGTTTTGAATCATTGTGAATGAAAATTAGCACAGCAGTAGTATGGAAAATTATTGAAGTTAATAATCCCAGGTGGCCACTACCAAAGCCTAACTAACAATAAATTTGAAGATAATTAGCTCATAACACTCAATCGAACACTTCAGTCGACATAAAAAGCTGTGAACTGACATTATTCAAAAGGCGAAATTCATTACATTTTAGTATTCCGTAGAAAAATGGCACGGAACCCAAGTCAGCATCCTATCATTAGATATACAGACATGAATCCGACTTGTCAAAATATATGGAAAAGATCAATCAAGCACATGGGTCAGAAGTTAACCGAACAAAACGTGCAATGGAAACCCAGAGATATGATGTGAAACCTAGGAACACAACAAGCAGGAAGCAAGGCCATCCAATCAAACTGTTTTAAACGTTCTGGAATGATCAAAAAGCTGTCACATTTGAAGTAGGTTCTGATGATGCACATAATTCAAACCGACATCTCAATGAACGCAACACTATGAAAATCTAGTAAGTTGGTTTAAAAGCCCTGCACTGGAAACCATATATTAAGGAGCAACGTCAATGCTCTCACGTTATCTCTAATGCTGAAGGATATTTAGGTCAGATAAATAATGAGCTCACGTTAGATGATCTGTTAATTTTCTCATAACACAACAGAAAATACAGCAGCCCTCAATACACTCTAGTACTCCTTATACGCCTGAACGTCGTTAAGGTGATGTTTTGTAGAAATGTTCTGGAAAATGATTTTACCCTAGACCGAGGTTACACGATGTTCGTCTATTCTCTGCATATATATCCTGTCAAGCTGGGTATACATATTAACAAACCAGGACTATAATAGTTATATTTTAGTAACTCACTGATGTGAATATTTAAAAAGACGAGGAGCGTACGGAATAACCTTTAGCTAATTTGGTCACACAGATATTTTAAATTTCGTTGGTGTGAACGAGAGGATTTTAAACAGTGAGAGAAACAGATTTTTACTGACAATACGCGAATCGACAATCAAAAAGACTATCACCCTCTGAACCCTAATGATTTACGAGAAATGAGAAAGCGGCCTGGTATATGAAAGGGGAGCTAAAATCCAACCTTACATACATTTTTAGGCAACCTAGAATAATGAGAAATTCATCAAATAAATTTGTTGATTGGCCTAGCAACATAATAGGTTGCTCGATGAACTAAAATGTTGATTTACAATTTAGCTGCTTTTTATCAGTGATATATACAGTAAATAAGGCTATTAAGCTACTTAATAAATTATGTGGAGTCAGGCTACTGCACCAAAGGATTTTACAGCAAGGTAAGCCCAGGGCATGTCGCATTGGCAGAACCGACACTTAACATTAGTAAGATAGAGTTAAACCAGCCGACATAACTGAGTGAAGAAATATGATACGTAACGGACTATACTGAACAGCACTGATGGACAACAAATGTGATTACTCCAAGTATTAACTTATATCAGATTGGGCCACAGGAATATCAGATAGCATCTGACCTATAGGAAACAGTACTTCAATGAATAGTTTCCTAAATATACTTTACCAGCCGAAATTCGCGATTGAAAAATAGTTGATTAACCTATACTCACTAATACAAAATAAACCAAGACCTGAGATTAGAAAATTTTGTGTGCATCGATTGTAAACCTAACATATTAGTATATATACGGGCCGGCGAGCATACCACGTTGAAAGCATCGGATCTCGTCCGATCATCGCAGTTAAGCAACGTTGGGCCCGGTCAGTACTTGCATGGGTGACCGGCTGGGAATACCGGGTGTCGCCGGCTTTAAAAGCCCCCAAATGCCCTGGTAATGTTTACGAAATTGAGAGGACGAAAAGCGAATGTCCGGCGCTTTAATCGGGTTGGTGGACACAGCGAGTTGGAAAATCCTGATTCCAAACCAATGGTGCACATGGGCCCCAGTATCCTGAAGGAACGAATGGCGTATGAACCAACTGTTGGTCACCGGCTACCATGGTACTGCATCTCCTTAAGATGCTCCACTGCCTTGTGGACTAAACCTTCAGGTCAAAGGCTCCGGGTGTGGCCCCCTAAGAAAACCACCTGCTTCAGTCTGGGCACCTGGGCAGTATCACAGCCCTCATACAAATCAAACGAGATTTGTGAGGCGCATATTTATCTGGTGCTTCCTTGTACCAATATTTGTGTTTAAATAAATAAATATATACAGGCCACTACTTTCAAACAAACGAAGCAATTAAAGATGAGTAGGAATCTATATGTAAAAAACTATACCTAACAACTAAAAACACTTCCAGTTGACTGGTAAAATATGTGGAAAATGGGTAGGATTAAACTATACTGCCGACCTTTGAACGAATCTTAAATGACCTTGAGAAATATTAGCCAATCAGAAGACATTTAGTATACACTAAAAATATATTATACAAAACTCAAAAATTAGAGGGGACATTGTTCTTTTACATGACTTAAAAACTTATCAAGGTTACATATTGGTTCAGAAGTTTTAAAATCATAATGCATCCGATACAGGAACTCATCCATGTGGCTCCATAGTGGTCGACCTCTGGAACCATGATAAGGTCTCAAAAATTCTTTTAGCCTCGACCACATAGCTTCAATGTTGTTGGCATATTGGTATGGTTTACGGTTAGAGTTAAGGGTGAGACTATATATAGTGTTAGTAAGAAAGGATGAAGTATCGAAAAAAGTGTAATCATGGATAATACATGTTCGTCATAAATTTATATTTAGAGAAATGAATTACAGATAATTTTATTTTACTGAATGTGAACGAGCGACGTTTGCTTAACTTCTCCATGCTCTAAACATACTTCAAAGTAGTAACTGTAAGTCTTTAGAAAACCATAAAATACGATCTTTGCTATGGACACTCACACTATTTGGTGACAAAAGTATATTCCCAAAATAATTCAATTGATAACAGATTGCTGGTGTATTTTCATAGAGATTTTAATGTCTTTCGTTATTTTATTTAATTATTTATCATATTATTGCCCATTCATAAGTCATCAGAAACTTGATCAAGCCAAATCATCCTGTGATAACCATAGAGGGATTAGTCTGACTAATATAGCATCTAAAATACTAGCCTCAATAATTATCAGGCGCCTAACTAAGACTCGTGAACTGCATGCACGAGAAAATCAGGCTGGTTTCAGACCTGGTCGTGGCTGTATCGACCACATATTCACCATTCGTCTGTTGCAACTATGCTCAGACAATCGTTTATATTTAGCAAGCACTAATTTTAAGCATAAGCAGAGACATCGCCCAACATGACGGCCACTTGCACCAAACCAACGATGGACTCAAATAGACAATATTGCCATAAGTCATCGTTCGAGAGGCTCGACAGAAGACTGTCGCTCGTATTGCAATACTTGTTTAGACTCTAATTACGCTTTAATACGAGCACGCATTTGTCTGAACCGTACTGGACGCAGGAAAACTACACTAAGAAGACCCATTAAGGTTGAACTGGAGCACGAGGAAGCCAAAAGTAAGTTCCAGGAACAACTGAGCTCACATCTAGGCAGTTCTGGAAACGAGGCTGACCCAGATTTTACTTGGAAAGATATACGAACAGCTGTGGAAACAGCAGTAACATCTATTAGTAATTTAAACCATAGGGTTCCAAAAAACCAATTGATTTCATCCAAGTCTATTGCACTGATGGATTCTCGTAAATTCATCTCATCAGGCTCTGAACACGATGAAGAGCGAAAGCAAAAGAGATGGAAAAGGCAGTGGCTGTAGGCAACACCAGACAACTAATAAAATAAACTGAAATTAAGAAGTCAAGTGTAAGTGAAACAATCTCGGAAAAAGACGGAACCCTTATCTACTCTCAGCCCAGACGTTTAGAATGATGGGTAGAACACTTCAAGAAGCAGTTCAGCTACTCTAGTCACCCACCATTCCCAAACAGTCTGAATGGAACATTGAAGTAGGTCCCACAACTCTAGTTGAAGTTCAAAAAGCTATAGCTAATCTGAAACGAGGAAGGACAGCTGGTCCAGATAGATTGGCTCCAGATGTCTTTAAATATGGTGGTCCAATTTTAGCGATTGGGTTGACTAATATTTTAACTAAAACATGGGACTTGGACGTAATCCCATCTGACTGGTCACAATCACTGATTGTCCCAATATATAAGAAAGGATCGAAATCATCCTGTAATAGCCATAAAGGGATTAGTTTCACTAATATAGCATCTAAAATACTTACATCAATAATTATCGGAGCCCAACAAAGACTAGTGAACTACAAACACGAGAAAATCAAGCTGGCTTCAGACATGGTCGTAGCTGTATTGATCACTTATTCACTATTCGTCAGGTTTTAGAGCACAGACATGCTTATCGGCGTCCGAGAATGAGTTTTTCTTGACTTGAAAGCAGAATTTGACTCTGTAGACCGGGAGGTTCTGTGACAGTCTGTCATTGAAAGGTGTTACGATTGTGAACGCTATATTCGCTTCCCTAAGCTAGTTCCGTACCCCCGAGCTAGAACTATACACCGACTTGAAGACCAGAGAAAAGGCACAAAGTGTGACGGAAGCACTT